CCATCTTTACGACTAATGGGGATTGGGTCATAGAATGCGTGAATTCCAAAAAATTATTGGCGAGCATACGTTTGCTTTCGATAAATTCTGTTAGGTCTGTTGACTTTTATCGTAATTAACTAAATAAAACATGCGGGTTGGTATAAAAACCGTGTGGTTGTCGGAGTCGGGGGAGGGGGACGAAATTGGAGTCAGTAATCTGATCGGCGTCAGGGGGAACTAGCAGCCGGGAGAAATAATAAGCTGGGGGTGTTTGAATTGGTGAGTTTCGGTCATGCTAACTGCAGCGCCGTTACGAAGTTCTTTTGGGCGCACAGGACAGGTTTGCGTAACCTGATGGCAGCTGCTTCTGCCGTAGCCAGCAGACCTTGTCCAAGGAATTTTGAGCGTGGCCACTTCCCCCGACGCTGATCAGACTACTGAACCCAGTTTTGTACCACCCCTGACTCTGATAACTTCATGATTTTGCTTCTGCTTAACCGCATATTTTAGTAGTTAATTACGATATAAATGTACAAGCCTGAAGATGATTTATCGAAAGCCAACGTATGCTCGCCGTTTTTTCACATTTTCCTATGGGAATTTTTCTAACTTTAAGACAATGCATAAGTTGTTTGTTGCTTCCGGACTGTGAGCAACTCAAAGCCTCCCAAGTTTGTTCATCAGTCGAGCGCCTTTTTTTGAAAACGAGGCACGGCAAAGTCAGCACTTCGGTTATGGTTTTTCCTTCGATTTTTTTTCCACTGTCTTCTAGTCAGGATAACCGCTAATTACGAAGAGTTTTCGCAGAAACCAAACCGTTGATTTTTATTGTTCGGTTCGGTTCGGTGGAGCGTTTTTCTGCACGGTTTGTGGGAAAGGAGGTGGTTACTAATATCCTGTCCCGTCCTGCAAACCGTTGTTTTGAATTCCCAACCGCCTTTTTCTGTGTACCATCTCGCTTAGAAACGGTAACTGACAGTCTTTTCCTGTCTCTAACATGAGGTAAATGCGTAGGAAGACCGAGTTCCCATGTTGCATGACAAGCTT